GTTAATGCACCAGACTGCAAAGCCATTTGAACTGCAAGGTTGGAGGTTCAAGCTCACCAGCTGTTCCTTGGAAACCCTATACAGGGTCACTATGGGTTGGAATCGACTCAACGGCCCTTCACAACAACAACAAATTGTTTCTTTTGGGAGCCAATCTATTATTTGGCTGAAAGGGGATCTCCAAGAGAGGCTTCGGTTTCTATTTCTAAGGGTATTTTAAGGTGAAAATCTCAGGAATTCCTCTAGTTTCTGGGTCCTGTAAGGTTGGCCCTTTTAAGGAATTTAAGTGTTGTTTTACATTTTTCTCTAGGACCTCCTAGTGTGTCCCTGGTCAAAATGTCCATTAGTAGTAACCAAGTGCCATCTAGTTCTAGTTTTATACTGGAATATGCTGTGGTTGGTTTGTGCTGTTAGTCCTGTGTACTAGTTTCTTCTTTGAGCCTTTTGATTTTCTTCATTCATTTTTGCTCCAAACAAGTAGTGACCAATAGTTGTATCTTAGATGACTATTTGCAAACTTTTAAGGTAACTGTGATGTAGACTAGAAGTTGCAGAAGAAATTAAATGCATGCATAGATACTAGAGCTATTGGTGGTGGTGGAGTGTCTGAGTTTTTCTGACTCATAGTGACCCTGTATAGAGTTTCCAAGTCTGCAAGTCTTTATGGGAACAGAAAGTCTCATCTGGTGGACTCGAACTGCTGACCTTGTGGTTAGCAGTTCAGCCAGGATCCTTGCTAGAGTTATTAGGATGGAAAAATCAACTGACTTGACAACTGATTACATGAAGATAAGAGGCTACTAGAAATTCCACAAACTAACCATAGACTAGGCACTGTGTTTGAATGAGAGATTCAGAAATGAATGAGCCTGATTTCAACTATACATAATATTAAAACCCATAAAGATTAACTGTATCGATGACTAGCAAATGACTGGAACAGCTTCACAGGTAAATTGATGCTTTGAGTTTGGACTTCAAGCATGGATGGAATTCACCAGATGGAAAATGGGGAAATTATAATGAAATGGGAAAATATGACTCAAAATTTCAGACATAAATAATTAGGGGAAGATAATAACACAGGTTTGCAGAAGGAAACATGGCAGTAGAAACAATTAGGGTGGAAAGATACAAGTACAGTTTAGATATTTAAAACATTTATAGAGAGTGTCACTAGTCTGCAGATGTAGGGGACACGATGGTAAACAAATAAACAAAATCTCTACCTTCCTGGAATTTCCATTCTATGGTTGAAATAACCACATGACATTTAGAGTGATGTGGTTTGCTCTGTTTTGACAATTTTGTTTCATTTCTTTTTCTTTCTTTCTTTGTTTTGTCATGCACATTAGTAAAATGAAATATGCATACAAGAAAATCTGTGTGACTAAAATTTGACTTAAGAAATCATCACTTAGGCAACACAATGTATCAAGTACCTAATCCCTCTAAGACTTTAAACTGTCCTCAAACTGACCTTGATATCTATAGGCATCAGACAAATGGTTTTGTAATTGAGAGCAATAAATTAGAGTCAATCATGTTTACTTAGAAAAACCTAATGTCTTTATGTGCTGAACAAGCTGACCTTCTTCTGGCTTTGCATTTCTATTGCACCTATTTTTGCTTTCAGTCAGTTCTTGATGTTATGCTGAGAGCTTCTGACCTTAGTAGCACTTTGCAAGAATATGGTTCTCTCTAGGTCTTACTGCTAGAATGTTCAAGAGAGAAAATAATTGGGAAAGTATATCCAGATCAGAAATAAGGGTTGTGAGTGAATAACCTTGAAAGTAAAATTCTTGTTGCCATGAAGATACTCAGTTTAAATAAAGAAAAAAATACACAACCTGTTAAAAGTTTACATTTCAAACTGCTTTCAAGGACAGCTGAGATACTGAGTAATATCTTTTATTCCTTGACTCTGTAGCTGCATAGTGTTCATTTTATCCTTCAGTAACCTGATACACTGAAAAGAGACTGGACATTAAAGTCTTTAAAGTTTGCTTACCTTTATAGTATTGAAAGCCAATCTTCAGAGCTCTTGGATGACTGGCTGAAAAGCATGCAGTTAATTCTCATACAAAATGTCTGTGGGGTTTTACTTGTTTTATACAAACAAATGAGTCACTATAGGCAATTCCCTCTCATTTTAAATTATGCATATTAGATTTTTTTGAAAACGTATTTATTTAAAATTATTTTTTGAGATCAAAGCCTTGTTGTTGTTAGGTACTATTGAGTCAGTTCTGCCTCATTGTGAAAACAGAACTCAACACTGCCTAGTTCCACCCCAATTACACATTTGTTGTTAGGTTTGAGCTGATTGTTGTTGCCATTGTATCCATCCATCTCATTGAGGCTATTCTGCTTTTTTGCTGACCCTCTATTTTACCAAGCATGATGTCCTTCTCCAACAACTCATTCATCATAACAACATGTCCAGAGTATGAGAGACAAAAGTCTCCCCATCTTTGCTTCCAAAGAGCTATCTGACTATACTTCTTCCAAACTCTTTTTTTTTTTTTTTTTCCTATTCTTCTGGGAGTCCCTGGTATAGTCAACATTCTTCACCAACACCATAATTCAAATACATCGGTTCTTCTCTGTCTTCCTTACTCATTGTCCAGATTTTGCACGCATATGCTGTTGTTGTTAAGTGTTGTCAAGTCAGTTTCCACTCATTGCTACCCTGTATAGGGTTTCTGAGGAGTAACTGGTGAGTCTGAACTACCAACCTTGCAGTTCAAACAGACCTTGTGTTCCAGTGCAGTTAGCAACCCAGTGCTTGTCCTACAGTGCCATACAGGACTCCATGTATGTGAGGCAATTGAAAATAACCTGGTGTATTCAAATTCGCCTTGTAGCATAGTGGTTATGAATCGGACTGCGAACCACAAGGTCAGCAGTTTGAAACTACCAGCTGTTCCGCGGGAGAAAGATGAGGCTTTCTGCTCCAGTCAAGATTTATAGCTATGAGTCGGAAACCAACTCCACGGCACGTAACAACAACAACATTCAAATTCACCTTAGTTCTGAAAATGATGTCTTTGCTCTTAAACACTTTAAAGAGGTCTTTAGCAGCAGATTTTCCTAATGGAATACTTCATTTGATTTCTTGACTGCTGATTTCATGAGTGTTGATTGTATATCCAAGCAAAATAAAATAGTTTATTTATTGATCCAGTTGTGAAGATTTTTGTTTTCTTTACCTTGAAGAGGAATACATACTATAGTCTTTGATCTTAGTCAGTAAGTCTTTCAAGTCTTCTTCTCTTTCATCAAGAAAGGTTGTGTCATCTGCATATCACAGGTTGTTCATGAGTTTTCTTCTAAACCAAAGCCTTGTTGTTGTTGTTAAGTGCCTTCGAGTCGGATCTGATTCACAGTGACCCTGTATAGGGTTTCTGAGGAGTGGCTGGTGAGTTTGAAATGCCGACCTTGCAGTTCAAACCAACCTTGAGGTTGGGTGCTTATCCTATGACTAATCATATCAAAGCAGTATGTGAAAAGCATATCAAAACGGTGACATGTGAAAGCAGTATGGGACTCCAAGTTATAGCCAAGAATTTCCCAGAAGCTTGAGATAATTGAACCCAGTTCTTACGATTTAACAAAATGACATCCTGACCCCATTTGAGTGTAATGTGTCTTTGGAATCAGGCTTTAAATGCTAAATACCATCACACATGTATTCCAATAACAAATACTAAGTGCCTGATGGGTGCTAAAGAGCCCCTGGGTAGTGCAATTAAGCCCTGGGTTACTAACCAAACATTTGGAGGTCTGAACTCATCCAGAGACACCTCAGGAGAAAGACTGGTGATCAATTTTCTTAAATAGCATAGCCATTAAAAACCTTATAGAGCATAATTGTACTGTGAAATGCATAAGGATCACCATAAATTATGATTGACTCAAAAACACACTGTTATTTTGTTGACTGTGTTTTGTTTTTAATGGAGTCTGTATCTTACAATGAAGTCCTGGTGTGGTGACTACTGGACTGTTGGAATGCTGCCCTAAGGTCAGTGGTTCAAATGCAACAGACATTCCTTGGAAAACCTATGCAGGGTAGCTATGAGTCGAAACTGATAGACAACAACATATATAATAGATGTAATCTCAAAAATGAATAAGACACAGTTACCTTCAAGAATTTCATTTCTAGTGAGAGTCTTTGTTGTTGTTAAGTGCCATCGAGTCATTTCTGATTCATAATGACGCTGTATAGGGTTTCTGTGGAGAGACTGGTGAGTTTGCACTGCCAATCGTGCGGTTCAAACTGACTTTGCAGTCCAGTGCTTACCTTACAGCGCCACACCAGGAATCTCTAATAAAAGTTATTGTTGTTGTTGTTGTTGTTGTTAAGTGCCATAAAGTTGTTTCCAACTCATAGTTACCCTGTATAGGGTTTCCAAGTAGCAGCTGGTAGGTTTGAACTGCCAACCTCACAGATCAAATGACTTCGCATCCAGCATTATCCTGCAGCACCACACCATTAAGAGTTAGCTATATTCAATTATTTTTCTTTATTTATTGCAAAGTACTTTAGATTTCTGCTTTTCATTCAGATCTCACCAAAATCCATAAAAAATGTATTTTATTCTATTTTTAACCATATAAATTACCAAGTTTCCAACTGGCAATAAAATTCACTTAAATGTATGGTTAAATAAAAAGCAAAACTGTCTTTCTATTTTAGATAAGGCTTTAGATAACCTATTATCCATATTTTATAGATAAAAAAATGTGCAGGGCACTGACTTACTGTCGGGTCTCTGAAGCATCTATTCAAAAGAGGTTCTACTGCAATCATGTGAGATTGTATAATATGAAAAAGAATTCTTGTTTAGCATTAATGATCATATTAAGTGATTATAAGGTTATTATTTTGCCCTTATTATTGTGCACGGTATTCATTCTTTGTTCTCCCTGACATTTATCATGCATTTCCTATACTATTAACAAGTTGATAAGAAAACTTTTCTTTGTATTAGTTTTCCAGATCAAGAAATTCGTAAAGTAGCAGTTCAACAATTAGACAATCTCTTGAATGATGAACTTCTCGAGTATCTCCCACAGCTAGTTCAGGTAAGAACAGCAGATTGCCAAGTTATACCAGGATTTTCACAAATAATTCTCTAAAAATATTCTAATGAATCAACACTAAACTACACAATAATGATGCTGTAATTTGGCCAACCAAGAGGATAAGTAGTAGCTTATACGTCAATGTGAGTAATATAGGAAATTTTGAAAAATTGTTGGAATCACTTTCCAAGGTCTATAAAAGGTGAATTAAAAAATAATAAAGCCAACTTCACTTAGTAATTGCAGGGGAAAATAGTAATGCTTGTGATGAAATACAAAACAATTTTAAAATGTTTTATATAAATAACAATTTGCTAGGCATCACCTCATATTTTATGAGTTTCTTAAATTTCCCAGAGGTTTCTAATATTTATTATAAACTTTTTAAAGTAATTACTAAAATTCAATAGTACAGTTTATTGACAATTAAACATCAGAATGTTAGACTAATTGCAGAAAATAATATTACCTAAAATCATAAGTAAAGACAAAAGTTACCCTAAGCAAAATATAGAGTATGATGGTACTAACACAAGTTGAATGGTTTTCAATAAAAACATGCTTCTATGATGCATGTGTACTTAAAGTGTTGTCCAATGTTCAGCACATATTCTAACGTATTTTTATATTGATATAAGACGATATAGTTTGTTTTTTCAGAATTATTTCATCTCTAGGGTAATTTAAAATGTATTAGCCCTAGAGTTAGCTTGATTACATGTGAAAGGAAGTAATTTTACTAGATAACTTGTTTGTTGTTGTTGTTGTGGTAGTGGTGGTTGTATACCATGCAGTCAGATCCAACTCTTAGTAACCCAGTATAGGGTTTCCTAGGGTGTAAATCTTTACAAGATCAGAAAAGCATATCTTTTTCCAAGAGAAGTAAATGGCAAGCAGGACTATATTTTTAATTTAAAGATGAGATCACTACAAAAGCTAATTATTGCTTTCCATTCACTTTCTTGAAAATCACCAAGTATTTTTAAAAACTATAGATCTCTGGAGTATAGTGCTGTAGGATAAGCACTCGATCACAAAGTCAGTTTGAACTGCAAGATCAGTGGTTCAAATTCACCAGTTTTTCCTGGAAAACCATATATCGGATTGCTATCAGTTAGAAACATCTTGATGACACCACTTAAAGCAACAACAACATAGATATTTCTATTCTTAAACCTCACATTAAATTACTATTTCATTCAATATTACACGCATCCTGAATATGATAAAAGATAAAATTAAATTGTACATTTCATAAATGATTATGTAAGTGAATTACTATCCAAATACAGATGACATCTTTTTCCAAGATAATTATATGTTGAGTACTGAGTAGGCCAAAGACAGTGTCTTATATTTTCTATCCTTTTTAAAAAATGTTTTATTATGTTAACAGGCATTTTACATGCCAAGTGCCTGAATTTTTTATCTTTGATAAGAAACTCTAACACTGATATAGAGTACCTCTATAAATAGACGGAAATTCTATGTTTCTACATATACAAATTATGAATTTCTCTGAAGTGCTGTGCTATGCATTGAACTGTGTTCTCCCCAAAGATGTGTGAATATCTGAAGTTAGAAGACCAAATAGAACATATTCAGCATTTCATAAACTGAAAAAATATTAAGAAAACATTCAAGTCCAGATTTTCAATATTAGAGGATTTTATGAACCAAATATTGAATGGTGGAAGAAGCATCTAAAGACGATAAACAGAATATTCAAAGTCACTGTACCAAAAAGAATTAGTAAATAGATGTTCAATCATTTCATAAGGTAGCATATAATGAAGAACCAATGGTATTGAAGGAAGGTGTGCCTCAGGGTTGTATCCTTTTATCATAGTTTTGTAAATTTGTGTGCTGAGCGAATAATCCGAGAAACTGTATTATATGAAGAAGAACATGGCATCTGAATTGAAGGAAGACTCATTTACAAACTGTAATATGCAGATGACACAATCTTGCTTACTAAAAGCTAAAAAGGACATGAAGTACTTATTGACAAAGATCAAAGACTACAGTCTTGGTATCAGTGTGGATTGCACCTAAATGTAAAGAAAATGAAAATCCTCACAACTGGACCAATAAATAACATCATGAAAATGAAAAGTTTGATGTTATCAAAGACCTCATTTTACTTGGATCCACAATCAACATTCATGGAAACAGTGGTCAAGAAGTCAAACATTAGGCAAATCGGATGCAAAAAAAGACCTCTTTAAAGTATTCAAGAACAAAAGAGTCACTTTGACAACTCAAGGGAGCCTGACCCAGTCCTTGGTATTTTCAAACCCCTTATATACATGTGAAAGCTAGACAATGAATAAGGAAGACTGGAGAATCAACATATTTGAGTGATGCTTTTGGAAAAGAATATTGAAAGTACCATAGACTGCCAGAAGAGCAAACAAATCTATTTTAGAAGAAGTAGCTCTGGTAGTGTAGTGGTTACAAATCGGGCTGTGAACCTTCAGGTCAGCAGTTTGAAACTACCAGCTGTTCCACGGGAGAAAGATGAGGCTTTCTGCTCACGTAAAGATGTACAGCCTCAGAAACCCTGTACAGGGTCACTATGAGTCGGAACCGACTCCACAGCACATAACAACAACAACAACAGCCAGAATGCTCCTTAACAGAGAGGATGGTGAGACTTCATCACTTGCAGTTTAGACATGTTGTAAGGAGAAAGAAGTCTCTGGAGAAGAATACCATAATTGGCAAAATGGAGGGTCACTAAAGAAAGGAAGACCCTCAACAATAACACAGTGTATTAACACAGTGGCAGTAACAAGGGTCTCTAACATAACAACACTTTTTAAGTTGGCAACTATAAAACTGTGTTTCATTCTGCTGTACATAGGATCACTGTAATTCAGAAATCACTGGGTAACACCAAACAGCAACAGCAAACTATGTATCTACTGGCTGGACCCTTACACTCAGCATTATGTAATTATCCTTCATTTTGTTATCTCCTATAGTTATCCTGCGTTGTAAATCCTCAACTCTATGATGTTAATGAGACAGGATTAAAAGCAATTATGTTAATGTGGCTGGATAGCAATCAATAGGATTAGGGTGTGTTTTGAGTCAGTCTCTTTGGAACTATAAAAGAGATTAAACAAACCTGCAAAAATTGGAGGGCTCAATTATCACTAAGAAAAAGGAGCCAACAGTGAAGCATGCTGTTTGAACCCAGTATCCTCTTGCTGTGACTCTCCTAGATTCGGTGAATACAGATGACAAAACACATGAGGGTCTCAAGAGACATCTGGCCCACAGATATTGAAAGGAGGCAAGGAAATTCCCTCACAGCCAACAGAGCTAGGAAAACTTCCTCCTAGGGCTGATGCCTTGAATTCAGTCTTCTACTATCCTAGGTACCAAGCCTTGGTATTTTCAATAACCTCATATGGATGCGAAAGCTGGACAGTGAATAAGGAAGATCCTAGAAGAATTGATGCCTTTGAATTGTGGTGTTGGAGGAGAATACTAAAAGTGCCATGGGCTGCCAAAAGAACCAATAGATCTGATTTGGAAGAAG